CCTTCTATAGATTTAATATAAAGATTTTAGAGGGTGAATGTTTTCTTACAACTTGTTTTTTTTTTAAACACTTACTATAGCACTATCGATGCTAGCAGAATAATTCTATTGTGTAACACTACACAACTCCTATTGTAATACTATAAAAATCACTAAGTTACGGTGATGCTGGAGTCTAAACATTAAGGAGTTTCCACCATCAACAAAATATGAGGCTTAATTACTGTCAACAAGAAGAGATTAAAGGAATAAATACACTAAAGGTCTCTTCTAAAATTTCACCATAAAAATGACATCTCCACTCACCTGTTCTACAAAATCCAGATGTTACAACTTGAGGAAGTAGGTATTGGAACTAAGAATGATATGAATAGAAAGTAACAATTTGGAGATTAGAATAAGACCCAGGAAAGTACTCTGCCACATTTCGCTTGCTGTTTTTTTCTTTTTCTTTGAGAGGATGTGGGAAGCACCCGGGAGGGCAGCGCCTGCGGGCAAAGCAGGAGACTAGGGCACAGCACAAGGTGCCCACCACAGCTGCTCTCTCTGGTGCGGCCAGGAGGAACTGCAGTGCCTTTTCAGCAGGTTTGCCTCCGTCTGCCTCCGCAAGTAAACTCTCAGTGACCATCCTAACACCTAGAGAAGGCCCTGAGGAAAAGCACCCCCGTGGAGATGGCAAGACTCAGGGAATCTTACTGTGTTCTTGGAAGTATGTTCAGAAGCGAGAGAGGCCAGCTCCTCAGGACTGCACACAGCCACATCTGCCTGGCGTGCTCCGTGTGGACTGAGAATCTGGAAAAACTCACTGTTTGCTAAGAAACACAGGGAGATAAACAGGCAGTCCGGTGACAACAGAATCTTCAGAAAGTCATTTCTTAGCACCACCAAACTGCTTATTTTCTTAGATGAGGATACCTTAAATGTGCTTCCCTCAAAATCAGTTAGGTTTGTTGTTGTTTACAGTTGTTAGTTATGCAAACTATGAGTTTTATGAATCCTGTTTGTTCTAGGTTATAAGGAGCAAGATTCACTTACAGCTCTAAAGCTAGTTAATGAATCAAAGTCCAGATGCACACATACACTTTTTATGGAGGAAGCATTCACAAGCATTCACAAACCACCTATATGTATCACAGGCTGAGCAGAGGCTTATGCTAAAGAGGCAACTTCATGGAACCTGAGAAGACTGAGTGAAAGGAAAACACCTGTGCTCTGATTTAGTCAACTTTTATATACTGTAACTGCATTTCCAAAGTATGTGCATGACAGGAAAATATACATGTACATTTACTCTGTAACCTCCATGAAAGGTTCCTTGAAAAAGTCTTCAAGTTTTACTTAAGCTGCTGAACTCTTAACTCTTGCAACAGATCTGCAAAATATTGCACAGTCACTAAACTATCAGACAAATAACGTTCTCCTGGCTTTTCAAACTTGGAAAGCCCAAAGCAGCATTTACATCAGTTTTAGATTTGCTTGTCTTGGCCACAAAAAACCTCAAGCCTCTTGAGACTGGAATCCCACTGTACGTGAGTACTGGGCCCGGTGCCACGCTAATCTCTGCGGCTCATTTACCTTGCACGCTATGTACACAGCGCAGAGCATAGTTAAGGGCATCTAGGGTGCTGGGTTTACTGTGTCTTTCAGCTGGAAAATACTTTTTCATTTCTTGGACAACCATTATAAGTTCTTCAGACATTCTGTTTCGGTCTTCATGTTCACTGAATAGAAACAAACAACAAGACAAGAAATGGTAATGGTGGACAGACAGGAGATACCTGATATTTAGGGGTGTCTGGGCGCATCAATTCTCTCAAGTCCCAAGTTTAATGCCCTCTGTCGTCTAGGTAGGGTACATTTCACACTTTCATTCTCCCTTCAGCCCTAATTCCGTCAAATTCTTTAACCACTTTCCCCTTTCTTTCCCTATGCTGGTAATTCAGTAACAGCCCTCTCCCATCAATTCTCACTGAATTGTCTAAAAGTTCCCTTTCCGGTCGCCTTCCCCTCACCCCGCCCCAGGGGTCAAAAATATAATTAAGAAGTCGTGAACCCTGCTTTCTCAGCTCCAGGGGAAGGACAATAAACACAGACGGTGGTGGGGAAGCTTCTTTGCATCACCTGTGGCTGCTGTCCACGTCAGTGCCCTGCAGAGGACCCTCCTGGCCAGACGCCCCCTGGAGCCCCCGTCCCCTAGCCTGAGGACTGTCGCTGCCGGGCACTGCCGGGTCTCCACAGGGTTCCATCCCGCCTGGCAGCCCTCAGCCTGCTTCTCTCAGTTTGCAGCCAGCAACCAAACCCGGCTTGTTTTGGTCCCTGCCATCGCCTTCGAGAAAGACTGGTCGCCGACCACGCTCATCTGAGGGGCACTTTTCTCCTCAGCATTTCCCCAGAGTCTGCTCGGGCGACGAGCTACACCAACAGCTCCCCGCCGGAAGCGGGTTGGCCGGACCACCCGTGCGGCTCTCGGCCCGAAACAACTTTTCCGCCTGCTGTGCTGGGAAGTCGGCGAGCATCGAGCATCGAGCAACACCGAGAGCGCAACGTTCCGGGGTGATCGGGCGGAAGGCAGGGGCAGCAGCGCCGCGCCGTGCAGGCTCGCAGGCGTCCCGCCAGCCGAGCCCTGGCCGCCGCCCGCCGCCCCGCGGAGCCCTCGCCTACTCCCGGGCCTCCCAGTCTCGAGGCCGGCCGCGTGCCGAGCAGCCGCCGGCCCCGCCCCCTGCGCGCCTCGGGCTCCGGCCCCGCCCCTCCGCCGCGCGATTGGTGGCTGAGGCTGGCTACGCGAGCTCCTATTGGTCAGGGGGCGGGGTCCGGCCCGGGCACCGCGGGGGTTACGTAACTGCGGGCGGGTGGGCGGGTGCAAAGGCCCCGAAGTACCTTACATAATGCGCGGGTCGGCCGAGGGCGCCTCTTGGCCAATCCCCGCCAAGCGGAGTGGCTTGGAGGACGCTAGAGCCGGGTCGCACAAGTCTACTGCGGGGCTTCCCAGGGCCCCGGCCTTGGTGCTGTCAGTAACGAGAGGGCGGACCCAGAGGGCGGGGCCAGGCGGCCGACAGGTGCGTGGAACCCCTGGCGTTTCTGGGTCCGCAGGCCTTTGGGGTTCTCCGGGGTAACCCCGGTAGTGCCCAGGGACGCAGTACTTTGGGGTGAAGGACCTTCTTGGGTTTCCATTGTTTTAATCTTTTTTAAACTTGCTGTCTCCTTCCGCCCGCCAATGTAGGTAAATGAATTCAGGTAGACTCCAACCGAATTTTCAGAAAGAGAAGTTTAAAAGTCCAAGGTAACTTCCCTGACTGCCCTTTAGTTACAGATTTATTTGGCGACAAGAAGATAAACATAGTGTAAACGATGCTCGGTTTTCGAGGAAACAGCCGAGACGCTCATTTTACATAACTATCTCTACTCTTCGGAGATGAAAGGCACAGGGCGGAACTCCAGCCTGTGTACAACAAGAATACATTGAGTAAGGGGGTGGAGAGATGGCGCAGCGGTCTTTCCTGCACTTATCAAATATTTCATCCAGTATTTGTTGAATGAAAGGTGTTCAGGTCAAAGGAAAAAGGGAAGGTGCCAGAAGAAAGTTCTCCACATTATATATTGGACAAATCGCCTCATTTTCAAAGTCTTTCTCCACACTAGATTGCTCTACTCCCAAGCTCTTCAAGCATTTATTACACAACTATTGAGTGCATACCTGGGCAGGGATTATTGTACTCTGAGTACAGGACAAAAGTCTGTCATATTCAACATGTAACAAGAATGACTCCTCAAAGTTATGAAAGCCTGAGATCCTGCTAAGAAAGAAGCCAGTGGAAGGGTAAGGACAGAGGTTAAGGGGGGGAGACTGGAGGCAGGAGGCATGGGAAATGCAGTGTGAGCGAAGCCCTGGCGTGAGGAAATGGGTGGGCCAAAGAACCGAACGGTGCTGCACCTGCCAGGTCACCCTGGTGCAGAGGTTAGTTGAACGGAGCACCCACTCGACTAGTTGTTGAGAACCCAAAACGATATGAGATCAGGTGAGAAAGGGAGGGTCAGACGGTGGTATTTAAGAAAAAAGTAGATTTTTGTGTTGCACTTAAGCAAAAACCTACCTAGTCCATATTACATTGTTTGCAAGGGTGAAGGAATGAGAGGAAGTGTACTCACAGTCAGTCACATAGATAGGGAAAACCCCCACACATTGGAACATCCCTCACCCATCCAAGTTTACCTATCTAGTTGGTGGGCTGTGTGGTGTACCAGGCCAGCGCTGCAGAACACCAGAACTTCCAGAACAACTGTTTTTACGAAACCCATGGGCCAAATCCTGACTGATCTGGTAACTGCAAGCCAGCTCCCGACTCATCTTTGCACTGAAAAGCACTTTTCATTTAAGGTATGTGATAGTTAATTCCAGTTCGACTTCACTGGGTCTGGAATCAACTAAAAGGTAACCTGCCAAGTATGCCTGATGGATTTTCTTCCTCAGATTATGTGAAGTGGGGAAGACTTACCCTAAATGTAGGCAGCAACTTTTGGTGGCAGGACAGATAAAGATGGGAGAAGGAAGCTCTGGTTTTTGCCTGCAAACCTTCATTCCCAGGGAAGTTAATCTCCCCTGGTGTATCAGAACTCAGCTTCTTTGGGCTTCAACAAGGACTAAAGACCAGAGGTTTTTCCAGGAATCTTCCAAGCCTACAGTGCCAGGTTGGGACTGCAGAAGCCCTCAGCCTCATGGACTAAGCAGCTACCAGGTTCTCAGCCTCTTCACTGTGAGGCAGACCACAGTACATAAGACAATCTAAGAAATTCTCTTTTAATATACATTCATCTTATTAGTTCCGTTCCTCTAGAGGACCCTAACACAGGGTGGGATCTACACCTACCCATGAGAATGTGGCCCACGGAAAATGGGTAAGAAAGAAAATGTTTGTGAGGGAGAGACAGGGAGTAGCAAGGGTAAGAGGTTTTAGGAAATGGATCAGGTATATCCACCACAGTCCAAGAAACCTGAGACAAGATCATGTTAATAAACAACTTTATTCAGGTCATCATAGTGGGAAAGTTCCCAGCTATTTACACAGACAAACGAGGTATCACTGTGTTAATGCAGGAGCCGGTGAGTTCCAGGGACGGAGCATGGTGGAGACAGCACCAAGGTTGTCGGGTCAAGGCAGGACAGAAGCCCTGGCTGATGCTGCTTTCCCACAATGGGCATGCTGCAAGGCCTGTCTTCAACATTCGTATTGTTTTGGTAACATCAGAGGTACACAAAAAAAGCTAGAACCAGATTCTATGACATCTTGACTGATGCTGCTTTGAATACAAACACAAATTTCAGGACCTTCTAATGGCACTGCCACAGATAAGCAGTACAGACCTGCTTTTCCTTCACTGCTTCTTTGTTTTCATCCATGCCTGAACTCCCATCTTTGAGCCATACCTTGATGAAAGTCTCATATACACAACAAAAGTGTCTCAGAAGGCAATGGCTATATCATAAGAGCAACAGGCTTCTTTGGCTAGTTCTCTAGGAGTGACCAGTGCCTCACCTCAAGCAGAATATAAAGGATGAGGAAAAGCACTAAATAATTTTCCAGAGCTCTGTCTGTGCAGACTGACACCTTTTTGAGGCGGCAAGGCTGCTGCTCACATCACGCTAGCATAGTTCAGCAGAGTTCAGTCTGCACACTGCTGGCTAAATAAATGTCTTGTCTACAGGTGTGACTTGAGCTCATCCTATAGCTCTATGAAAGAAAGCAAATCAGAACGAATAACACTATCTACAGGATTTCACAGGAAGGACTGTCAAAATGTCGAAGGCTCACAGAGTATTGGCACTTTGTCTTGAAGGGCTCCTTGAGTTACATTTGGCACTTATTTGAATTTCTCTATTAAGGGAAAACTTACTGACATTTTAATTGTATCTAAATTTTGGCAAAATAGAAACTTTGGTCACAGTTATATAAAAACTTTTTAAAGAGTTATTTCTGATTAAAATATTATTTTAGAAGTGATATGCAACAAGAAGAAAGTAAACATCTTACACCTAACATAAGAGCACCGATGAGCTCTTCACCAGCATCTTAAATACAGTAGGAGTCAGTAATGCTTACAAAAAAGGAAGGTCCTCTTAATGAAAAGGAGTGGAGTTGTCAGAATAAGGCACACTCTGTTACTGTCACTGATTTGAGTTAGGTAGTAGTGTTCTCCTCAGAAGGTGCAACCCAAAGGTTTAAAATGTGGCTTTGAGAACGATGTCAGGTGGGGACAGCTGACTTGAACAAAATCCCCTTTCTGGAATCCACAAGTCATCAGTGACAACATCCACCTAGGTTTCAGCTCTCTGGAACAGAAGTCCTCTTTCCCAGTCGGTAACTCTGTAAAGGCACTGTGCAAAATGTGGGCAGGGTAGGTCACACCTCCAGTTTGGGGCATATATTAAAAACAGAGACACACCTCTAGGCACTAAAGTGTATGTAAATTAACAAGAATAATCACTTGGAAAAAACAGTAGGTAAGCTCCGTATCATAGCAGGTTCTAAGGAAAAAGTCTTCAAAGCGGTCCTGAACAGTGTGCTTCAGTTTTGCCAGCTCTTCCTTAAGAGACACACCACACTAGGAAGCGGGGAAGATTCAGAAACAGTGAAAACGGCAGTTAGTGTTTCTGCAGATGCTCAGTAGGGATTTCTATTATCTATATAGGAACAGGAAGAGTGTGAAATGGCTAATTTTCTACTAGCAGCTTCTTTGTATCCTACAGGAATCTGAAGAAGACTGAAGTCAAAAGAGATAAAGGAAATATCCAATAGCATGGAACTAACAAAGAAAGACATGCTTTGCTAGAAAATCCCATAGATTAAACTGAAACTAATAATAAGTTCTTCTAATAATATAAAGCCACAAGATGGTGGTAATAGCTATGTGTATCTGTACACATTCTGTAATTAATATTTCTGTTGTCCTATGTCAGGTACTTTTTATATAGTAACCAGATTTGTCCTAAAAACACAAGGTGGACACCACTGCTATCTTCATTTTACTCATGACGACACTGAGGTCTAGACATACCAACTGCTTGCCCAAGACTACAGAGCTTCTACTATAAGGTGGTAGAGCTGGGATGGATCAAAGTGGTCTCCGCTGATCACTACACTCCACAAAAGGAAACACAGACTAAAACTGCATAGGAGAGAAAAATTGGCCAGACGGTAGAAATGAAATTTCCTATTCTCAAAGGATTACCTTTATCTACCTATCTGTCTGTCAAAAACGCCAGACTTCAATTACAAAAACTCAAATATATAGACTTAGTATGGTGGCACATGCCTATAACCCTACCACTTGAGAGGGTGAGGCAGAAAGATTACAAGTTCAATGGCAGCCTGGGTTGAACACTGAGATGAGACCTTGCCTCAAATTTCCCTCAATACCACCACCCCAAAACACCCTCAAGTATTCAAAATATTTGGTCAAGAAAAATATTTAAACCTTAGAATGAACTAACCCTTTGCTTCTGTATAGGCAAACATCTATGAAACAGGGGTGACTCACCAATAATGATGATGACAACAATCACCAGGACACTGATCCCTATTGCCCACATCTGCAATAAGACAGGTCCACTTAACATTGCAAAAACAGATTAAGACAGTGCTTGCTGCAACAGCTACAATGTGAAATAATTTATCATTTCTAAAGCCTACATTTAATATTTTCAGTTAAGGCCTGAAATTTAGTCATGGGCTTTCAGAAGTGTGTTCCAATTCTCTGTGGCCCTTGGAAAGATATACATCTCCACATAGCCTCCTGAGTTCATCTCACGTCCCTTTTAAACAAAGCATGACAGGAATTATCTGAGATCTGATCATAGACACTCTCATTTGCTAACTGTGTAAGTCTCCCTTGGACAATGTTCATATGTTGCTTTCTCCTCTTTTGTTGAACAAGGTGGGACTTAGCATTTAACCTTCGCAGAATGGCTGGCAAACTGAGCATCCGAGCCAGCACTCCTCTATTCAGGGTATTCTCTGGTACCTGGGTGGGGGTCTGCCCTGGTACCTGATTTAGGCAGTTTGCCCATGACTGGTTTAGGCAGTCCGATTCTACATGTCTTCTAGCTTTAGCCATAAAACACGGGATCAGATTCCTAGTTGTGAGCAAGGAAATGGAATGTAGAATCACAGTTGGCCCAGATTCCACCCACTACCCAGTCACAGAATGCAACAGTGTGGCCTCTGCAGCACTCTGGAAATGGAGAGGGGCCTGGAATGAAGGTCTGTCAAGAGAACATTACCTTGCAGTTCTTCCACCAATACTTTCTCTTCAACTTGGCAGCACTTGTTTCAAACTGAGAAGCGCCAGCCTGCAGTGCATCTGCGCGGTCATCCAGCTCCGAGAGCTTCTGGTCTCTCTCTAACACCTTATCCACATTGACTCTCATGATGTCAACCACCTAAATGAACATGGTCACAGTTATACAAAAAGGAAAGGAGGAACAAAACTCTACATGAAATCTATGGACACTCTTTATTGAGTTAAACTTTCACTTAAAAAGGTACAGGCCTTTGTGATAAATCCACACAGCAAACCAAGGATAGAAGGGGCACTTATGGGAAAACCCACACTAGCATCACATACCATGCTGAGAGACTCAACATCTTTCTAGGATCTGAAACAGAGTGAAGGGTGCTCACTTTCACGGCGGTTCAACCCTGTCGGCAGCCCTGCTCAGGGCAACTAGCGGGGGAAGAAGGCAGCCTGGATGGAAAGCAGGGCTACAGCTGTCTATTACTGCATGTCAGAAATTTTACAGAAAACCCCTAAGACTTTTCCACAGGAGGCTGGCGAGACGACTCGCCAGGTAAAAGGGCTTGTTGTCAAGTCTAATGACCTGAGTTCAATCCCTGGGACCCACACGGTGAAAAGAGAAAACTGACTTTTTCAAGTTGTGCTCTGACCTCTGCATGTCGTTGGTGTGCTGTGTGTTCCCACCACAATTATTTTTAGAGCCAGATCTGTGCCCATCAGTAAGGCCTACACTCTTAAGGCAAAATAGAAAATCAGCCGGATGCTCCTAGCCAGTTAGCCTGGATTTCATAGCATAGCATGGTAGAAACAAGAGACTTTGCCTTAACAAGATGGAAAAGAACCAACTCCAAGAATGTTATCTCTACTTCTTCTTCCACTACACACACACACACACACACACACACACACACACACACACACACAAATATTTAAAAGAATTTTTCAAAATGTACTACATGAATAAATTCAGCCAAGTTGTAGCATCTAAGATAAACACTTAAATCGGTTGCGTTTCTATGTGCCAGCAATGCATTGAGGAACAGTGTCCTTACCAAAAAACTCAAAAGGCTAAAACTACAACCAATGTAGTTAATTAAGGAGCTGAAGGACTTGCAGAATAAAAAAAACCATGCAATATTAGAAAAAGCGGGTGGCCCCACGGGGTAGAGTGCCTGCTGCACAAACATGAGCACCTGAGTTTGGATGTACAATGTTCACAGAAAAAAACAGGTATGACATTCTGCTCCTATACTGCCAGCACTGGGGGAGGCAGATCCCAGAGACTCACTGGCCAACTAGTCCAGAAAACAGATGAGCTCTGGGTTCAGGGTAGTAACCTGTCTCAAAAATTAAGGTGAACAAAATCAGAAGAAGATTCCTGATTTTGACCTCTGTCCACTACATGCTTATACCACATGCACTCACAAAAGAGAATCCAACAAAATACAGAACATACTACACAGAAGCTGTGCACAAAAGCACATACCTGCTATTTGGGAGGTGAAGGCACCACACACACACACACACACACACACACACACACACAGAGAGAGAGAGAGAGAGACTGAGAAAGACTGTTATAAGAATTGGAGTCTTAGTAAGAGAAAAGACAACCATGTTTACATGTTGGAAGACTTAATACTGTAGAGAGGGCAGTACTCCCAAAGTGACCTACAGAGTCAATACACTCCCACCAACTCTTTTCCCCTCAGAAAACTGTCATGTAGTACCCATTCTAGTGCTTTTTTCATATGTTAGTTCAAAAAAGAACTGAGAATAAGCAAACCAATACTAAAAGAGTTACATGGTCATTTCAAAACTCACCACAGATGTAGAGTAATAAATACTGCAATACTGGAGCTGGAGAGATGGCTTAACAGTTAAAAGCACTGGCTACTCTTCCAGAAGACCTGAGTTCAATTTCCAGATGGTGGCTCACAACCATCTATAATGGGATCTGATGTGGTCTTCTGACATGTACCATACATGCACACAGAACACTCCTTCAGACATAACAAAACAAAACAAAACAACTCACACATAAGTAAACAAACAAACAAACAACCCTGTGATACTGATACAAGGCCAAGTGAAAACCAGTGAGAAAGAACCCAGAAATCTGCCTTCATATTTAAAGCCAATTGAATTGGTTTGTTTACTGATTGATTGCTTTTGGTGCTGTGGATAGAACTGAAGTTCTTCTTTGGTTAGGCAAGTGCTCCATTACTGGCAAGACTCTCAGCCTGCCAGCTAATTTTCAAGAGGATGCTAAGACCAGCAAATGGAGAAAGAATATTCTTTTCAACAAATAGTGCTGTCACAACTAAGTAACCATATGGAAAGAATAAAGTTGGGTTCCTGTTTCATTTCCTATACAAAAAGAAACTCAAAATAGATCAGTCAGCTAAGTTTAAGAGCTAAGACTATAAAAACTCTTAGAAGAAAAAGAAGTAAAGCTTTACAGCTTGTTTTAGGTTTCTATTGCTGTCTAGAACACCATGACCTAAAGCAACTTGGGGCAGAGAAGGGTTATTTCATCCCATAGCTTGCAGTCACGCATCTGGGAAGTCAAGGCAGAAACTGATGATGTAGGGATCATGCAGGAATGTGTTTACTGGCTTGCTCCCCATGGCTTACTCAAACTGTTTTCTTATGCCATCCAGAACTACCTTCCCAAGGGTGGCAGCACCCAACAGTAAGCTGGGACATCCCAGATCAATCATCAATCAGAAAATGCTTGTCCACAGGCAAATCTGGTGGGTATATCTTCTCAACTGACATTCTCTTTCTAAAATGACTCTAGCTGGTGTTGAGTTGACATAAAAGTAGCCAGCACACAGCTTCAGGTTTGGCTCTGGGCACTTAAATTTGATATCACAAGCAAGAGCAACAAAAGAAAAAAAAAAAAACATTTAAAGTAACTGAAGAGATAAATTGGGCTTTATAAAAAGTAAAACCTTTTGGCATCAAAGTATACTACAAAGAATGTGAAACTCAACCAACCCAGAGGATGGAAATACTTATGAAACACTTATCTGATAAATGTTAAATGTGAAGAATACATTAAAGAGCCTTACATGTTAACAACAGAAAGATAATACAACAAAAACATTTTCAAAGACACATAACTGTACTCCTAGCATTTGGGAGGCTGGGACAAGAAGATCTGAAGTTCAATAGTAGGCTACATAACAAAATAATAGGCTACATAACAAAACCGTGTCTCAGAAAAAATAGCTAAAAAACAGCAGTAATGCAAAATGGGGTAAAGGACTTGAACAATCACTTCTTCAGAGACACAGAAATGGCCAACATACACCAGAAAGATGTTTACTATTACTAATCAAATAATTAATTAATTCAAAACCACAGGAGATACCACCTCCTGCTTGCTAGGAGGGCTGCAGCCCCAAACTCACAGTACCAGGGACATTGGACACTGCTGTCAGGGAAATAAGCTAGTGTAGGATACCACAAGAAAAATTGCCATAGAATTATTATATAAACCAGAAATGCCACTCTTAGGTCCACACCTAAATGAAACAGAAACAACAATGAATCTAGCCCCTGGGAACTCACAGCAGCCCTGTTTATATCAGCAGAAAGACTAGGATAGCTCAGCCACCCAGTTAAGTATGAACAAATCATGGCTATACAGATCACGAACTAGCACTTGGCCAAAAGAGGGAAAAGGTGCTAGCAAAGACGACAACGGGATGTACACGGAAGCATACTCAGGTGAGAGAAGTCTGACACTGATCCTGGAATATGCTATACCTAGAATAGGCAAACCCAAAGGAACAGAGCAGACTGCAGGTTACCTGGCAACCAGGAGAAAAAGGGAAGGGTGAGGATTATGGAATGAGGACAGGGTGCTTCTTAGTAGTCACAAAAGAGATCTGAAAGCACAGAGAAGTGATGGTTGTACAACTCATTGAATATACTAAACACATACGCTGGATGGCAGACTTTTAAACATGCTCAATTTTATATTACGGGAATTTCACCTCAAAGAACAAAACCTTGATTCTCTTTAAAATTTCTTTAATTTCTAAAACAGAGTACAATTTGAGTTTTTAAAGTGACATTAGTGTAAAAGCCTAAAATGTTCAGAATTAAGTTCATATTGAAACCATCATATAAAAATCTCACTGTATAACTTAATAACAGTACCTAAGATAACTAGTTTTAGAACAGCTGAATGCAGAAAGATTGCAGCTGGTGGTGGCGGCACACATCTTTAATCCCAGCGCTGAGGAGGCAGAGGCTGCCTGATCTCTGCGAGTTTGAGGCCAGCCTGGTCTACAAAAAAAGGAGTTCCTGGACAGCCAGGGCTACACAGAGAAACCCTGTCTTGAAAAACCAAAAACCAAAACAATATAAAACAAAGCAAAAAACTAAAGCAAACCAAACCAAACAACCAGAAAGATCAAAATACCTGTGTTGGCAATGATGGCTTCTAAGAATGTAAACAGGGAGAGGGGAGATGGTTCAGCTGCTAAGAGTACTGGCTGCTCTCATGCAGAACCTGGGTTTTGTTCCCAGCAACAACAAACAGCTGAAAACTACCTGCAACTCCAGTTCCAACCATTCTGAAGCCTCTTCTGGCCTTTGCAGACACTGCACACACGGTACAGGTAACATGCAAACAAAACACTCAGACACTTAAATCTTAAAAAAAAAAAGAGAGAGAATATGAAATATGGGTCTGAGTTTCTCACAGAATCTTCACTGTGGTTCTACAGGTACACACACAAACAAAAGATGCCGGAAGACTCCTCCAGCTTAAGCATTCCAAAGAAAGCTGGGTTACAGCAGTTCCACCTTTTATGTGTCTTTCCTTAGCTGTCAGAGAAAGTCCTACAAAGATCTACCTATGCTAGGTAATCAGTAGGTGCAGCTATAAGACACACAACATTTTGGAAACAAAAACAAACAAAGAAATAGATCAGAAAGACTAGTTCCTGGCTTGAACAATCTAATTACCTTAATTACAGAATGGCTCTGGGAACATGCTTTTAAGAACAGGTGCTTGTAGTTGAACTATGTGATTTGATAGTAGAAAAACAAGTATGAAACCAGGAAGAGTCTGCTTTGTGCTTCGAACACAGCTTCTAGAACATTCAGGCAATATATATATATATTAAAAAAAAAAAGACTATGGAAATACTGGTCTGACTTTCTCACAGAAGCGTCACTGTGGCCTTGCACACACCCATCTAGAAAGATGATTTCTTATATAGTCAAACTTTGTGCTCAGACATGGATGATGCTTTTTTTCTTTTTTCTAATAGTAAAAAAGCCATTACATGTGTAAGTCTGTATGGAGCCATGTGCACATGCACACAGGTGCTCTTGGAGGCCAGAATTACAGGCAGTTGAGTGGCCCAAATACGAGTGCTTGGGTCCTCTGCTAAGCGTTCTTAACCTCCGAGCCATCTCTCCAGCTCCAATGATTCTTTTTCTAAATAAAGTTCTAGAGAATTCCCACGTTTGTTTAGAATTCACATTCTGAAGTGGAGAGCATACCTCATCTACTTGATTCTGTGTCTGCTGGAGTCTTCGACTGCTGCCAGTGGCAGCACCTGAACCCGCAGGCACACCTGTGGACCTGAAAGGTGTAAAAGCACGGGTATGAGTTCATTATGATTCTCAATGTGCTTGGTAAAGCACACATGGAATCCTAGTGCCTCTCGGGGGAGATGGGAGGTGGGGACAGGAGAGTCTTGGAGGCTTGAGTGACAGCAACGCTGACCACATGCTGCACTGAGCAAGAGATACGGTCACAAATAATGCGGAAGGTAAGGGCTGACATGTGAAGCTGCCCTCTGCTCTCACACATACCACAGCATGTGTGTGTATAAACTGTTATGCCAGCACTCAAGTCTTATTAATTCCTTAAAGTCCTGCAGTAAGAAAGAAAGGCACTAATGTGTCTTTATAGCCCCTCAGTAGTTCTAAGGACAGCATCACTGGACAGTGACCAAACTCTGAAACAATGTTTAATAGGGATCAATGTTTAATTGGGTCAATAAAATGCTGTTTTGTTTTTTTTTTTTAACTTGCTTTAAGACACACAAAGTTTAAAGATAGCCAGTATTCTCCTGATCTTTTTCTTTCGGCAAATAGCCAATATGGAGAGGTAGATTCGAAGTGCATGGAGGGGTCTGTGTGAATGGGAAGGTGGACTGAAGCAATTCTGTTGGAAAGCCACTCATCTTCCTCTGGTTCGTTGAAATCTTTATTTTCACTCATTCCCACTTTCCACAAGTACTCTGGCTCTGAAGGCCTTACCACCTCCATTAAACTCTGCTCCGTATCTAAGACAGCGCCCAGTATGTGCCTTGCCACACAACAGTCACCCCATCACTGACTGCACAGAGCTTTTAGGTCTGCACTGTGTCCACCACCGGGGTGTTTTTCTCTCTGAATCTTAATCATTGTTTGAAGAGGATAACTACTATCATTCTCCCAGGCTGAAGGGAGGCCAGTTCCAGTTTAGTTCCTTGAGCGTAGGTCGGGCATTGCCATTTGCACAGCGGTCTGACTGGATACATCTGAAGTGCTGGACCTTACCACGTGAAAGTAATTTGAAAACTTGAAAATTTGTTTTTGTTTAAAACGGCAACGAACCCCATGACCACGCTGGGGGCGCGGCAGCTCCCTGAGGACGCCGAGTCGCCGGTCGTCCACCACCGCCTAGGCCTCGGCACCTGGCGGGGTCCCGGTCACCCCCCCACCCCCGGGTCAAGGGACGCCCGAGGAAGGAGGCGCAGGGTGTGGCGGCCGCTTCCTCAGTAAGCCTGCGGCTCGCCTTCCGCGTCCGCCTGCAGGCCGCGGGGCACCCGGGGACGTCGCGGCGCCCCGACTCGTCCCGCTACGACTGCGCGCGGAGTGCACCGCGGGGCCGCCGCCCACCTCAGGCCCAGGGCGCTCGCTGCGCGGAGGCCCGCGAGGCCCCGCCCGAGGCCGGGTCCCCAGCAGCGGCCCCGCGCCGGACGAGGTTTCCGGGACTGGGCCCCCGCCCCCCGGGACCCGCCGCGCCTCGCAGCGCAGCGCGCCACTCACATTTTGTCGGCGGCGGTGGCGACGAACGGCCGACGGTCGTCGGAGGACCTGGGCAGCGAGCGCAGAGGCTGTGGGGATGGGCGGGGCCGCGATGACGTCACGAGTGGCCGGCAGGAACCGGCGGGGGCGCTCCCCGCCGCCGAGGGCGCGCCGGAAGTGGGCGGGACCGGAGCCAGGTCCAGGCGGGACACTCGGGCTGCAACCTCCAGGCCGGCCAGAGTGGGCGGGGCCGGAGCTTGGCGTGACGGGGCGTCCGCGATGACGAATGGGCGGGCGTTCTCGGTGGACGAGTGGGCGGGGCCAGGGCGCGGCGCCTGCGCCCTCGGGCTGAGCTCTTGGACGTCAAGGAATCCCCACAACTTCCGGAAGTGTCACGGCCGCCCTGCCTCTAGCCCTGGAAAGGTAATTTAGAGTGAGAATGGGTGCGGTTTACACTTACTTGACCCTGCTTTCGTTGTCTCTGAGTCGTGACCATATTAGCGTGCCTAACGTGCCAGAATAATATAGTGGTCCTGGGGGGACAACCAAAGTGCTTTTCTGAGAAAGTTCAGAGGCAATAGGAAGTCCATTTGGAGTCTTGACCACAGGGTTTGGGTAAGTCCCCTCTCATGTTATTAGCGAGGACAAATATTTGCCGTTGCACGGATGTTACACTCCCCGAAAGGAGCCTTGCTGCTGAGAACTCTGGTTCCTTCCTTTCTGTAATTCCCTGGCCCTAGCAGAGAGTAGGCACTCAGCTTTTGGTCAAACGGGGGGCGAGTAGTATGCATTGGCAAAATGTTCCAACAGTCTGTTACACAGACCAGGTAAGGTCAGTTGGTGGATTCCTAAGTGAAAGACACAAAAGATTAGTGTGTATTGCAAACATGAGAGTGGGTAATGGGTTGAGTAAGTAGCTATGATGAACATTCTGGGTTAAGTGTGAGTGGAAATAGCAAGCCCAGACCAACTGGAGAGTGTGGGGCCGGGCTTAAATAAAAACAAGAGTGAACAGAGTGAAGACAAGCGAGACGATGGCCTTTAAATGCACTGGACTCCAGAAAGTCCTAAGGGCTCCATTTGGGAGATTCAGAGGTAAAACTGTCTGGTCCTATTTCTGAGGTAGATCAGAAGTGAGATACTCCTAGGGAGATAAGTAGAAGTCTGCAGTGAAGAGCACTGGAACAACGATGAAAAATACCTGGAAGGGAGGCCTTAGCGAGGTAAGCTGGGGAGGGTCTTTTTAAAGAAACTGCCTAGTAGAGCTGAGGCGTGCAGCTTATGGTAGAGTGCTTGTCTACCATGCTGTTGTTGGTCTGAACCCCAGAATCACAAGACTCCCGCTTGTTGGCACACCCATCATTTCAACACTTTAAAGCTGTAGGTAAAATGGTAAGAAGTTCAAGGTCATCCTTGAGCTTTAAGCAGGGTATTTGGGGGTACCCTGGGCTACATGATTAAGGAGAACTTAGATTTGACATCCTTGATCTTTCAAGTAACTGCATTTAAGATAAATGGTTGATGTCTTGAGAAACCAAGCAATGTCGGTGGAAAGCAAGTGCTTTGGGGATAGTGGCTCTAAGTGAAACACTGGGTGTAAAAACACTGCACGTCGAAGGTAAAAAATACCTCCAGTTCTAACTATGATCTTAACCTCAACACCTTGGATTTCAGGTTAGGTTAAAGCAAAACACAGATAATATGGGGAAATTTTCTTCATTTTTAATTTACAGCAGAAAGAATATAAAGCATTCAGAAAACATTTTCCATATTTTAAGGGCAATTCAAAACATTTTGCATGGTTTCCAGCAGCTGAGTTCTTCAACAGATCCATTGACTCAATGATGCTTTACATGCAGTTACAAAAATAAAACTTACAAAAAAGAAGACGTCTAGACTAGTTTTACATGCAAGTCTCAGGGACCCCCCATTGGGCGCCAACTACTGTGTGGAACTGCCATAAGCGACCGTGCAGCCAGAAAGGGGTTCATCTTAGTATCTTTATTTCATTCACACAGTACAGCTGATTTTGAATGGGTAACAAGGATAGCAATTAAATCTTCAGGAGACAGAATAAGATTAGCTATTAATTTTATAATGAAGTCCTACTCCTGGCACTTGGGAATTCAGATTATCCAAGAAAGCTGCACCTACCTATCACCTTATATTCAAAATTAAGAGTCACAGTCAAAAAAAGTGGGCAGAAATGTTTTGTTTCAGTGGAAGTACGCTTCGACCTCACCTAGAATTCAGTTGTACTGGTAGGTTTTGACCCTACTTCTATCCCCTCCATTAGTCCTTCCTCATTTCTTTGTAAGTCTCCATCTTCCAGAATTTTCTAAATTATTCAGCTAATAATGTGGCATGTGAAACATTTAAAAAAATACATGTGAGGGTTGAAGCAAATCCACTGAGGTCATTACTCTGGTCAAATGATCAATTATCTGAACCATTAGCAATGGAGTAAATGTATTCAGATCCAGTATTAATATAGGATATTCTAAAAGAACTGGCTTTACATTCTATTCCCTGTGACGAATGCAGTTGTGTTCTTGTAAATTAGTGTCCTCAGACAGGTCAAATTGTGTAAAATAATAGGCATGGGGGGATTGCAACAGCTGCAACATAACCCACACATATAAAAACAAAATTGGGTCAGGTCGGCTTACAGATGTACAGGTGGCTGCTAGTTGTGGGGCTGTCTGTTGTCCAAGCTGATCACGAGCAGAAAGACATATATTGTACAGTAATTTGAGGTTGGCAGTGAAAGGAAGTAATTAAAAAACAAGTACAATTATAGAAAAGGCACCAAGAGCACTGACCCCAGTTTTTATTTTCACCACAATCTTTTTGTTTCTCCTTTCCTTCTGAAGACACCAGTTTAAAGCTTATTTGTGAATATTTTTAGGCTTCACAACAAGCCTTGAGTTTTAACTCACAGTTGGCAGCCAGAACCATGTTTTTTGTTTTTTTGTTTTTTGTTTTTTTAAAGAAAATCTTATACCAACCAATTCTCACACTTAACCTGGGAATTTTAAACTGGTATTAGCAAATGCAAAATTGGTTCTCTCTGTTTAACATGAATAGTTTCATTTTAAAAGCATCAGATTTCTTTGGCTCCTCATTACACGGGAAGTAGTATACCACGGCATCCCTTCAACACCAGTCTCCGTGGTTTTTCACTTTGTGTGTGTGTGTGTGTGTGAGCAATTTTTATTCATTTTTTAAATTTCCAGTGGGAGATATGAAAACGTCATTTTTCTTATTTCATACTACTTTTTTGTTAATTTTGATCATTCTAGTGTTCTTTGTTGGTGTGAGTGGATGGCGTTAAGTTCTGTCAGGATTCATCTTATGATTATCTATTTTGCAAAAGTAACTTAATTTTCTTAAGCAATATTAGCATTCACATTACTTGGCACCTTTGGCAAAGAAATTTTTTAAATAAAATAAAATAAACTCCTGGTAGCCAAAATTAAATGTAAACATATCCTTTTTTTAAAGTAATGCTACTCTGCCTTTTTTCCTAAGTCTAAATACAGTAGCTCTTTTTTTTTTTTAATTTTTTTGCAGGTTAGTCATGCTTTAGCAAAATGTTCTTCTACAGAACATTTAAAATAAAGTACTCTTATAGTGAAATAAATTTTTTTTGTTTCATTTTACAGACCATAGCCACTAATGCTTTGCTTTTGTTCTTTTTCTTGATTTCATGCACATCTTTGTTTTAATATATACAATATATACAAACAATACATCCACATTGTTCTCGCCCATTCAGACAAAACTATACAAATAATTTCATCTTGCCATGTTATTGACCTTTGTGAATAAAATATTTAGCAATTAATATAACCCCTTTCAAGTATTTTCTCGCTTTTTCATTTCTACCTTTTATATGTACACAGAAACCACTCCATTTGGATGAGATAGAGCCAAAACATGGAATTTACTGGCCAGAATGCAGCACCACACTGGTCGTTTAGGTGGCAAATGTCCAGGCAAGGTTTATGATTCCTTGGAATTACTATGGTTTCCAAGGTTACTAAAAAAAGGCTACATGCTTTACCAATTCTTAAGTAATTCTCATTGCAAGTGAAAGTAAGGCAAACAAATTAAAGTGCTGAACATGAGAAAAGGGAGATGATCACTATCCTCGCAGGTTCTTGGGAGGTGGTGGGACAAGAAAGTAAACTTAAATTCTGAAAGGTGTTTTTCATTATTTCCCGTGCATTACCCGTTTACCACACACCCGCCCCTCTGCAAAGTTCCACAAGACATTAAAAACCTGCAGATTTTAAAAGTTGCATTAAGTGTGCTGTAGAGATACAAACAAACGAACGAATAAACAAACGGAAAAAAAAACAGAACAGTGAAGGAAATGAAGACACACGGACTCGAGAATGACTTGGGTGATCTAAGCCCTCCACTGAGAACCAAAGATTCAGCTTCTTGGAAGTAACCGAGGTGCAGGCACAGCGTCCCTTGTGTTGCTAGCGTCGCCCCACCTGTTCTTATCTATATTTTTGGTATAAATATTTGTACAGTTCCACACGATGTTTGAATACAGCCCTAATGACAAGGAAAGTGGCTTCTTCCTAAGACGAGGAAGCCCTTCCAGTTCCTCCTGGTGTCTTGTTTTCCTGTGATCCAACAGAAGATTGAGTTCCAAGATGTCTCGCTGATCAAATGAAAAGTTGTCCATGAAAGTGCAAATGCAATGGCCAAAACCTTCTTGTTAAAACCCTGCAGCTGACTCCCCAAAACTGCAGAGGGATGGTGTGTGTGTGTGTGTGTGTGTGTGTGTGCGTGCGCACGCGCGTGTTGTTGCATGTCTCTGCTAAAAACAGAAATGAAAACAGTCTGAGAAGCAATGTCACATTGCTAAGGGATGCTGCTGTATGTCTTCAAGTTCCTTGGCCTTTTTCAATTCTTTCACTCTGGAAGAGAAACAAAACACAATACCAGGTGATAACTACAGAGTGAAACTGTGACCAAATAAAGGAGAGGGCTGTCACCCCCAAAATGAGAAGCCCAGACAAGCCCCTTTTGAAGACTGACAACAAGGAAACGTGTGAAGTTAGGAGAATACTCCAAGTGAAGATGTGTAAA